CTTAAATGCCAACCTAGGAGTTTAGTAGGGAGCCAGTGAATATTTTGGACCAATCCAGCCCCCTCATTTTACAGATGAAGAAACAGATCTTGGGCAATGATGTGATTTGCCTGACATCACACAGCTCATAAGTGTAAGAGCTAGGATTTCAACTCAAGTGGCTCTTAACTCTGAATCCAGTGTTTGCTCCATTTCAAGGGATCCTTTAATAGAAACATGGCTCTGTGTGAAGCAGTGCCCACTTACCACTGTTAGACCCTGATGAGTCATTTGTCAAGATAGGACATTATTTGCTTAACCTGCAGAAAGAACTGTACCTGCCTGTGGTCAAAAACCCCAAAGCGCAGCAAGTAACAGGACCCAGGGTCCCTTTTCTCTGTGTCTTGGGTGAAAAGGCAAGCTCTTTCCAGATGATTGATTTTTTTTTATTATTAATTTTATTACTCTTGTGGGTAAGCATAAGCCACTTCCTCTGAACAAAGTGCAGCAAAAGTAGCTAGACTCGAGAGAAGAAATTTAGGCGGGTATGTGAGATTCAGCTTGCTTCTGTTACAAGTACAGTTGGTGACAAGTTCACAACAAATTCGTCTTGTTTGGCCTTAACATTTTATTCATGGACAATTAAAACCAGGAGGGACTTTCTGAGATTGTTTAGGCTAAACCAAGGGTGGGGAACCTTCAGCCTGGAGGCCACAAGTGGCCTTCTAGGGCCTTGAGTGCAGCCTTTTGACTGAACAAATTTTACAGAACAAATCCTTTTATTAAGGGGATTTGTTCTGTGAAGTTTAGATTCAAAGGGCTGCACTTGAGGACCTAGAGGGCCACGGGTGGCCTCAAGGCTGCGGGTTCCCCAGCCCTGCTAACCTCTCATTTTAAAGATGACCCAGAGAAGGGAAGTGACTTGCTCAAGGTCACATGGCTTCTTAGTGGTCTTGCGTTGTTTTTGTTCGAATCTGGGTCTGTCTTATGTTCAGCAAATTGACTAGACTCCATATGCCCTTTAAAAACCTGGCTTAGGTAGAGCAGAAAAGATATCTGATTTTCCCTTCCTCAGCAAGTGATCTGTAGGCATAGCAGTTGATGGTCATAAATCTGAAATTAAGGTTTTTTTTTTCCTTCCTTATGTAAGCAGAGGTGATTGTTTAAGGTTGCCAATATGCTAAGTAACCTGGGCAATTTTTCACTCTTCCAAGACTCCTTCTTCCTCTCCTATAAATAAAGTATTTATTAAGTGTTTACGTTGAGCTCAGGGCTGGCTACAAAGAATACATAGTCTCTGCCCTCAGGGAGTTTATGTTTTAGTAAATGCATGGAAATAATTAGGCACATACAAGATACATGCAGCATAGATGATAGGTAAGTAGAGGGGAAGGCTCTAAGTGGCTGAGGGCTGGGGCAGGAAAGTCAGCCTGCAAAAGGTGGCCTGTGAGCTGAGTTTGAAGGAAGCTAAGTATTCTAAGAGGAGTAGGGTAGGAAGCCTTCCAGGCTGGAGGAACTGCCAGTGCAAAGACACAGACAAAGGGTGATGTACATGGAGCAGGACTTTGTCATCAGTATAATTGGGTGTAACGGGAAAGGCAGAGGAAGCTGAAACTTGCTGCGTAATCAAGTGGAACAGCCTGCCTTATGGAGAGAGTGAGTTCCACATTCTTGAACCTCTTCTGAGTCTGGTGTGACCACTTGTCTGGGATGTATTGGGGGGAAGGGGGTGGAATTTGTGTTTAGATGTAGGCATGATTAGATAAACTTTGAATTCCTTTTCAACTCCAAAACTCACTTATTCCAGAAGTATTCTGAATAATAGAGAATTTGCTATCCTATCCAAATTCTTGAAAGCCCCATCAAACAGTTTTTCAGTGGGCTGAAACTGGGGGAAGCCAGGACATGTTCTGAGCAGGAAACACGGGTTCCAGTAAGACGGCAACAGAGATACTGACATTTGCAGCCATGCATCGAAGCTGTTTATCCAATTCCTTCTGGGACAGGAGCTAGTCCCAGGATATGCCTGCTGGTAGAAGCAGGAAAATATGTATGTTCCTGGGAATGTAAGATTTTAAAATCTTAAAATCTGCTCCCTAAAGTTAGAAGTTGGTATGGGGTAGGAGAAAGCCCTGAAATTGGAATCCCAGGCAGGGCATGTGATCTTTGGCTTCTTAAAGCCTCGGTTTCCTCATCTGTAAAATGGAAATAGGAATACTCTACCTGTATCAAGGAGCTACTATGCCAATCAGATCAACACCACCCATACACAGAGTTTGGGCCTAATATTTTATAAACATTTATATCAGTTTTAAGTTTTATAAAGTGCTTATCTTATGTATTTCATACAGATTCCCACATATACACATGAACATGAGTGTGTGCATGCGCAAACATAGATATAACACACAAGTTAACATGCTGATCAGCACTGGCATGGTAACCCCATGAATGCTTTGGAGGGGGTAGTATATAGGATAAGCCCTTTGTAAATCTTAAAATGTTATGTAAATCTAAGTTATTGGCTCTGTGTATTTTAGTTGTTTGTGTCACCTGGGTGAATCACTGCAACACTTTTATTCAACCCTAAATGGATTGTGTTGTGTTACTACATCCTATCAAGTTTATTTCTCATCAGGCTTCCACAACAAACAAATACTCATCTTTGAAAAGGTCAGTCTGGCCAGACAGACCCAGTGGCCTCATGTAGTTAATGCAGTGTTTATCTGCACTCCTGAGGAAAACATAGTGCATTATTAAATCAGCATCATCTCACAAAAAAAAAAAGAAAAGGTCAAAGTGAATGGCTGTTTCCAAGGCTGTTGAAATGGTGTGTTTTGGAGTTGTTTCTTTGGTCTTTGTCACCCACATTAGTCACCCTTCCGTTACATTATTGTGGAAGCTGTTTCTGTCCTGCATCCTTGTTCTCCTATGAAACCTCATCACACAGGAGAAGAGGGTGGAGTTGCTATATTGGGTACAAGTGGAAAACTGTTCACATAGATTAAAAATTGAACTGAAAAAATATATCAGAGAGGGGGTGGAGTGGAATCTGGGTCAAACATATGCTCCTTTCTTTTATAAGATAAATGACCTTCGGAGTTCAAGCTGGGAAGAGACTCGGAGATCACTTTCTGTGCTGCCAGGTCTTGTCATGTCTACCCACAATACCCCTTGCACCCATCTGCTTTAGTAACTCATGGATCCCTCCTCACCTCTCACCCTGACTAATGCAATGACCTCATCACTCCCCTTGCCTCCAGCCCTCTCTCTTTTCCAATCCATCCACCACTCAATTGCCAAAGTTCTTTTTCTTAGTTGTCAGCCTGACTCTGTCACTCCGCTACTCAGTAAAGTCAAGTAGCACCTTACTGCCTCTAAGATAAACTCCTTTTACTCCTTTTACTCCTTTTTTTTTTTTTTTTTTTACTTTTTTTAAAAAGCTGCTCAGGTGTTATAAAGGAAATGCAGGCTAGGTGTTTTGGGGTTTTTTTTTCTGTTTTAGACTGAAGTTTTTCTGCAGAACCATGAGAAATACAGTAGTACAAAGTTCATTAGATGTGTTAGCTAATTATTAAGCACCTTATCAATAATTAGTGCTTTATCAATTGTAAAATCTTCTGACTCTACATGACTTGTGCTTCCTTTCTTCCCTCCACCCCCCCCAAAAACACATGTCACATAGACTGATCCAGTGACGCTGGCCTCCTGGCTGTTCCTCAGACAAGACACCCCACCTCCCGTCTCTGGGCGTTTTTCACTGATTGTCCCCCATGCCTGGAATGTTCTTCCTCTTCATCTGCCAACTCTTGGATTCCCTGGCTTCCTTCAAGTCCCATCTGAAATCCCACCTTCTATAAGAAGCCTTTCCTGATCCCCCTAATTCTAGTGCCTTCCTTCTGTTGGTTATTTCCAATTTATCCCGTTATTGCTGCTGCTGTTTGTCGTTCAAAGAGGACCATGACATCAGGGAGGTGATGCCATGACATGCAGGTGAACTGGATTTAAGTGAGAGAGGGCTGTGCAAAGTCACCAGCCTCACTCTCTCCTCCGGAGCCTTCTGGATCCAATGGAGGAAAAACAAATCCCGTATTATAGCTTATTTGTACCTAGTTGTTTGTATGTTGTGTCCTCCATTAGACTGAGCTTCTTGAGAGTGGGGATTGTCTTTTGCCTTTCTTTATATTCCTAGTTTTTAGTACAGTGCCTGGCATATAGGTGCTTGGTTTATTGACCGACTGAGTTGTCCCAGCCTAACGTGGACCCCCAATACTCTGAGCCTCATCTTGTTAAAGATATAAATATAAAATATTGTATTATACATTAATATAAAATCACTCACACTGCTCCCTGGCATCTGGCCCTACCCTGTCTTTCTAGTCTTGTTATATATGCCTCTACTTCATGCCCTCTATAATTCAACTAAACCATTCTTCTTAATATACCTCATTGCATGACATTCTGTCTCTGATCTGTGTTCTTTGGCTGTCTCCAGTGCTTTGAAAGCACTTTCTCAGGTCCTTCAAAGCTTGGCTAACTTGCTGTCTTCCAGGGGAAGGCTTTCCTAGTCCTCTTCTCCAAGCTGCTGTGACCTCCCTCTCGAAACTGCCCTGTATTTATTTTAATAATTATTCTGTATTTACTTACACATTTATTTATATATGCAAATATGTCTATATCCTGATATATGAATATGCTGTTGTTTTCTCCAATAAAATATGAATTCCTTGAGGGCAGAGGCTTTTCCATTATTTGTCTTTGGATGCCCCACCCCTGTACAAATAAGGAAACTGAGACCCAGGGAAGAAGAATGACTTTTTATTGTGATCACACTAGTAGTAAGTGGCAAATCTTATATTCAAACCCAATTCATCTGACTCCAGATTTTATGCTTTTTCCACTCCCTCCATAGGTCCACTTTTAAAAGTGTACAAAAAGGATTTAATAGAGTTTTGTATTACCTATGTGCTCAAATCAGAATTTTGAGGAAACAAGCCTGGTATGTTTTTGTTTTATTAAAGGAATTTCTTGGGATATGCTTCCAGACGAATTGCTCCTTGGAATCTTTTCATATTTGTCTCTGCCCGACCTTGTAAGAGTCTCTGGGATTTGTAAGAGGTGGCATCGCCTCTCGTGAGTATTTTATTGTCTTTTGCTTCGATGCTTTGGGTGGATGTTGTTAATAGGAAATACTGGTTGGTTTAAAAAATCAGCAGTACAGTTTATCAGACCTGTGAACTGATGATCGATGGTTATCAATAACAAATGTTTTTTGAATACTCACAGCCAAAGGAAGGTAGGAGAATTCTTGGGCCTCTATATACTGAGCCTCATCCTGGTTTTGTGCCTGTTTTTTGTTTTTTTAACCCCCAGGGTGCATGTAAGCTTTTTGTTTTGTTTTGTTTTGTTTTGTTTTTGTTTGTTTTTGCTAGGCCATGAGGTTAAGTGACTTGCCCAGGGTCACACAGCTATTAAGTGTCAAGTGTCTGGTCTGAGACCGGATTTGACCTCTGGTCCTGCTGACTCCAGGGCTGGTGCTCTATCCACTGCGCCACCTAGCTGTCCCTACATGTAAGCTTTCTTTTTCCTTAACAGCTCTGTTAACATTCAGTGTTCTTGCCTCATACCCTGAGCCCTTGGGTAGCCATCTGCTACCTTTGTTTTTTTTACCAACCCTTTCAGCCAGCAATGATGACAGAAATCCTAGAGACAGCCTGGTTCTGATTTAGGGCTTCTCTGTCTGATTTGTATTAGTCCATTAGCAGGATTGTTCCCAAAAAAATCACAGATCACAGGACTTCAGCTTTGGAAGAGAGCCTCAAAGGTCATCTAAAAATTTCACTTTTCAGTTATTTTCACTTCCCGTTCTTCTCTCTACTTGTTTCTTAAAGAGGCTTCTTCTAGAGGGAGCATGTGCACCTTTGAAAGACAGTGGGAGCTGCTGTTACCATGTAAATGCTAAGTGTAGGGCTAGGAACACAGGAAGGCTCTTTGTCCAGGTCTTCCGGAAAGGCTTCTGCTCCTGAGGTTGTATGTGCCCCAACCCCTGGCCCATTTGTCTCCAACCATCAATACATGTGTTCTTGCAGGCCTGAGAGCTCAGCATCTTTCCACTGAGCTCCACTATCACTTGGCAATCGTGGATTTGTTCTCTCTACTAGCCAAGTGAATAAAGTATCCAGTTGACCACTTATATGAATACTCAGTTTAGAGTTGCTCCTGAATTCTGCCTGCCACCTAATGGCTGAAAGTGGTTTTTTATGATTTTGTGAAAAGATGATTTAAATCAGGGAAGGTGGGGAAAAGAGTAAGTACTAAGCACAGGGTTGTGAAATTGTGTTTCCTAGTTTGGAATAATGACCTGAAATGTGGTAAGTGGGCCTTTTAGAACAAAACTGGAAAACCATTTGAAATAGGCAAGTTCATCTCCTTGGGATAAGCTAATAGCAATGATTAGTGGAGTTTCAAAAGCTGGAACCCCAGAGCTCTTGCATCTCCTTCCCAGCACCTGAAATGGCCAGATCTAAGATAAGAAGGGATCCTTCCCAGCATTCTCGGGTCCTCTATCACCAGCCCAACAGTTTTCAGTAAAATAGGACAGATCCCATTAGAAAAAAATATTAAAACAGCATATTAAAAAAAAAGATTGCATAGCTGTATGCATTAGCCCAGATATTTCAAACATAAGAAATCTGACTATAATATGATACATCGCTAAATATTTTTTAAAAATCTAAAGAATTGGAATAGTCCCTTGGAATTTGCTGTAAAGAGTTTTTTTAAAAATAAGTTTTTAACTGATATTTTCTCTTTCTTACACTACCATAGTTATCCCAAGTATCCCTCCCCTTCCCCTTCCCAGAGAGCCATCTCCAGCTATAAAGTATTTTGATATGGACTTCATTATCATCAACCTCAGCAAATATTTGAATGGTTATTATTTTTGGAATTTAGAATTTTGGGAGGCTATTCTGCTAATAGACTAATGCATATCAGGCAGAGAAGCCTCAAATCAATCCAGACTGGTTCTAGTATCTCTGTCATCATTTTTTGGTGGAAAGGGTTAGTGAGATTTCCTAATGTTTAACTTTCTGAAATAACTCGGCCTCTCTTCTAGGTTTGATGAATCACTGTGGCAGACTTTAGACCTGACAGGGAAACATTTACTGCCAGGAGTAATTGGGCAGTTGCTCTCTATAGGTGTGGTCGCTTTTCGCTGCCCAAGATCACACGTGGATGCGCCACTGTTTAAAAATCTGAGGTAAGATTATCCCTGTAGGGGGAAAAAAAAAAAGCAAAAAACTGTAATTGTGTGACTAAAAAGAGAAATGATAGACTCTTAGAGCTGGAAGGGACTTTGGCTGTCATCTAGGCCAGGAGTGGGGAACCTGCCGCCTTGAGATCACCTGTGGCCTTTTGAATCCAAACTTCACAAAACAAATCCACTTAATAAAAGGATTTGTTCTGTAAGACTTGAACTCGGTCAGAAAGGCGGCACCTAAGGACCTAGAAGGCCACATGTGGCCTCAAAGAGGCCATAGGTTCCCCACCCCTGATCTAGTCCAACTGTCACCTAAGCACAAAGCCCCCACCTCTACAGCATCCCTGGCAAGTGGTTGTCACGCAGCAGCACAAGTGGCTTCTGAACAATCGGAATTGTTAATTTCCTACACGATTTTATTGGTTGCAGGTACTCCCTCCACTGAGGCAGATTGAGGTCCCCTTAGTACTTTGGGAGACTGTTGGTTATGTGACATATTGTGGCCAAAAGAAACCTAATCACCTACCATTGACCTGAGGGGGAGCCTGTCCAGATGTATACTGAGGTTCAGATGACGGACACATACCCATTACTGGGCCCATACTAAAAATGAGCCTGAGAACCATGTGGGGAGCTGTCTAAATTCTTGTTCTACAGTCATGGTGGCCCTGAGAGAATCAAGTACTCCCCTCCATGACAACATGAGGCATCATAGGAGGGCTTTAGGAGAGGGTTCCTCCTTATATTCAGCAAAAATCCATTTCAGAATTAGTCTAATGCTTTCCAGGGTCAGTGTAGTACAATAGTAAGACCCCAGGAACATCTGAGAACCGTAATTCAGCTGCTGTTCTTTAATATATTACCTTCATCCCTCTCCTACCCCTGCAGCTGCCCATCTAAAGCCACGTTAGTAGGAAATGGCAAATTAAACCCCAAATGAGCATCTTTTTTATTTTTCCCCAGACCTATAGGTCATCAGTATAAGAAACTCTTGGTGTAGGAATGTCCTCCAACTGGCAATTCATGGGTGATTTGTAGTCTTAGTGAGTTTTTAGAGGCAGTAGGAGGTTAAGTGTTAAGTTACACAGTAGTATGTGATAGAGGAATATACTGGAACCCATGTCTTCCCATCTTCAGGGCTGGCCCCATTATCCACTACCAGTCAGTCAATAAACATTTATTAAGTAATCAATAAATAAATAAGCTCTAGGATAAAAATACTAAAAAGAAAGCTCCTCAGGGAGCTTACAATCTAATAGGGGAAACCCGTATACAGAAAGAATCTGATAAAGGGCTGGGGAGAAGGAGGAAGGGAAGGTACCCAGGCAAGGACTTAATGAAGTCTCAAGTAGTTCAGCCAAGTAGAAAATGAAGAGATGGGCGCCTAAGGTTCTCCCTTGAATGGAAGTTCTCCACCCTCCATTCAGAGGAGTCCTAGGGGTAAAGGGTACTAATGAAGGACCAAGGCTGATTTCATCTTGCAGGATGATGAGGTTTCTGTGGGCACTGAGGACACTGCCTCTCATTAGCAGTACTTATTTTTTTTTTTTTTTTTTTTACTACTAAATCAAATCCACAGTAGCTGGTCGTATGCATTTATTCATTTCAAAATGTTATCTAAGCAGAAAAACTGTGG